TTTTTCGGCTATTCAAATACTGGAACAACTTTTTCGCTGCAGTTTTGTTTTGACCAAATGATAATGTTCATCAACTACATCATTTACTGGTGAGTATTTTTATGATGTTTAGTCTCTGTGCCATACTAAATAATTGAAGACTTAAGCAAACATCCCATAGTGAACGAACAACAAATGAACTAGAATACACTATCTATGATTCCTAAACTTACATATAAGTTGTATGAATAAAAATATCGTCAAAGTGAAATTAGCTGAAAGCTTTTTCAGTTAACGGTAAATAGCTGATCCTTGTCTTTTACAAATAGTTCGAATCTTTAAAACTAAAGTTTACGGTATTCAGGAATTTACGACAGTCTTTTACTAAACTATGTGAACAATCGGCTACAATATGCAAACTTATTTTGATGAACATAGCCATTATAGAGACTATCTAATAATCGTGGTAGATTCTTGCTATTGTTACGTTTACTTTTCTCTTGAAAATCTTTTAGATACCCAAAATTTATGCTGAATCATCCTGACCATTATCAATGTGTGTGAAATAATTCTTTCTGTATATTATTTCACACAATCCTCATTTTGTTTGCATACATAATTCTTTATTTGCATGTCATTCTAACGCATTCTGAATTTTGGATGAAAAAAAGTTTATTCAACTTTATTTTAGATTTTGAATTCATTATCTTATTTAACATATTTGTTTCAATGATTTTAAACTAACTCATCAGTTTGTTTTATCAACCGGCCTAATAATCCCATCAATCTTATCAATGACAGAAACTGATCAAATATTAGATTCTATATGTCTATGTGCTAAAATTCACTAATATCAAAATTATTTCAATGTGTTGAATATACAACATGTTGTTCATTCGACCTGGTATGAAGTTAGTGTACAATTCATTATTTTAGTTTTTAATCCACATGTCATGCTATTTAAATTTTACTTCAAGAAAATCAATATGAGCAGATGTGTGAATTTATGCATATGTATGTACAGTAAATAAAATTAGTCCGATTTTAACTTGATGTAAATAGAAGTTCACAGATTTTGAAGAATTTTATTTGAAAACACCACAGTATTGCACATATGAGTTTATATGCAATCGTATTTATAATAAAGAAGTTTGGTTTATCAAAAATACACTGTGATGCATTCAATTAGACAGAAATTGAACTGAAGAAAACGTAATAACAAATCTGGTTAAAGCAGAAAATAGAAAAGAATAATCACAATTCGAAACAAATCGAAAACGCACATCATACAAGATAATTTTTTTAAAGAATCCAAATTATTCAGTACGTTAAGTGCAGGCACCGATTTCTTTACAACAAAAACGAACACTCATAAACTTATTTCACTAGTAGAGACGGATGTTGGCAAGCAGTAAAACCCAAGACGCACGTTTAGTCTTGTGTGGAAATCGTCAGCTAGATGTACCTGCATCTCAAACTTAATGTTTATTCCGAGACTCGAATCCAGTGCTGTTCGCTTCCAATGCCATCGCGTCACCCACTTGGCTGAGTCTAGACTGCCACTGGCTTATGCAATTTATAAATAGAAAAATTATTTCTTGACAATTTCTTCACAGATATCTACCTCATGTCAGCTTATGTGTATATTTATACACAAGAACTATTCGCTTCACTTATGTTATTACATGATGATTTGTTTTCAAATCTCAAAATAACATAACCTAAAACGAAACAACTTCAAGAATATATTCAATTAGACTAACCTACATAAGATATAGCATTGTAAAAAATATTGGCTAAAGTTTGAAGTAATAACAATTAATTAGTATCTGATTTTTACCATAACATAACACGATTTTTGCAATATTTAAAAGTAATAATGTAGACTTGGTCAGACTGTGGGTCCACACATTGACGATCGGTTTCAAAGCTGAACAGAACTGCTATCTAATATCATCTGGTTCTTAATGATTCTCTAACTAACACTAATTTTTAATGAGAATTACTTTCAAACTTTAAATCATCTGCATACGACTAAATCAGTAAAACATTCGTAAAAAGCCATAAATAATCAATGGTTGCTTTTTCTCGAAATATTTTCGTACACTGAATGACACTTTTCTCAAGCAATGTATAACTAAACCAAAACTCAATACATTTGGTGTTGTTTTTGCTCGTTGTTACAAATGTGTTAAAAGTATAGTATAGTATTTATATATAATTCAAACAAATTGAATAGTATTGAGTGAATTGGTTGTTACTGTTGGGGACACCATATTAAAAATGATAGCTTTTCACGACTTATAATTCAAAGATATTTACTGCTATTAAGTTACATATTAGCACTAACACTATTACTATCAAATATTATTGTCAAAAATAGTATGAGTAATTCTTCTCTGGTTATCAATTATTTTAACAACCTAGCTACATGGAATAATTGATGGTGTTTAGTAGATCCTCACGGAAAATATGATTATTAGATTCAAAAATAATGACTGAATGGCACCATACGCCGTAAGATCTTAGGCTCATTAGCGTGTAAAAATCCACCATAGAGGATCTGTACACTACGAAAAATTAGCTATGATGTACTTATTAATACTTGTCCCGCGGCTTTTCTTAGTTATTGGTGAATATCACCCTGAAATTCTGATAATTTCGGGATGAAATGTTATGCAATTATTTGTTTAAGAGTTGTGTCAGGAAAAAGACAACAGCGTTTTTTACTTTTGAGGTAATTTGGTATTAAATGATGCAAAACAGTCAATAAAGAATCAATATAACATTTTAAAAAAGATCTACATTTTCACAGATATTTATTTTTTTTAATTAGTTGTTTAAAAGTTTCAGTAACAAATGTTTTACCTAGGCATTGTTAAGTTCATAAATTTATATCAAAACAGATGAAATAAATCATGCACAGGGATATTTGTATGTTTATCTGACTTTTATTCTATTTTATGTAAACTTTATCTAATAAATCAGTATTTTAAGTGACTTTTCTCCACATATTGGATATAATGTTTTATCAAGGTTATTTTTTATTTTGAGGCACATAGAAAATCAGCAACGAACATAATATTGTATTGATAGAGGGTGTAACATGAACCACCTTGAATTTTCAGTCATTTTAGTAAGTCTAAACTAATATTAATAAAGAAAAACTGATGGTCATTAGATTTTGCTTAAATTCGATGGTTATCAGTGTAGTAATTTATACAGTCAACTATTTCAGATGTACGCACACGTATATATGTATTATAAACAATTTTACCAGTATACAACCCCAAATATTGTGATGAGAAAGTAATATTTTCTAGTACTTCAAATTTAACCAAATTTTACAGTCAAATTGCACGTGACTACGTGCTCCATGACATGATGTTTGATGCTCAGAGGTAGTTGACAAGAAACTCTACACTAAGGTTTCGAATCAGTCAGTCATCAATTACTGTCAAAAAGTTATTCATTGAAAATATAATTCAAAAATAATGCACAGAATTGTGGAACAAACAATATAAAATAATTTGAAAGCTCAAAATCTACTGTTATAAAAAAGTAGTGACGATTATTTTGTTTCGAATTCATTGTTTAATTTGACACATCAATCCAATTTATTTCCCTAACTAAAACCAGATACCGCAGTAATCACCTATTTGTTACGAACAATAATGTAATAAATATGTTATTCGTGCTGCTGTACGTTAATGATACATTATAATGTAATAAAAGACACTATAGAAAAATCAGTAGATACATGGTTATTAGCTGAAACAATGATTAATATTCTAAGTAATTAAATGTTTGTTTGTTTTATTCATATTATAAACATGATAAAATGGCGTTTAGACGAGTTGTGACTGTTACAAAGATTGGTAACAAGAACTACACGTATATATATATATATATATATATATATATATATATATATATATATATATATATATATATATATATATATATATATATATATATATATATATATATAAAGGAACGTGAATATAATTGTCTAACTCTATACATTCTTCAACCACAATCGATCGTTTCTGCTATTGATCCAAAGACGAAGAAAAGATATATTGATCGAAAAGGATACTGAAATCAAAATAGTCAGCTGACGATTTCGCGAAAAGGAAACAGAATCATTATTTTGTCGAAAAATTAATAGTTCACTGAGGTGGTGAAGAAAGGCCAGTTAATAATAGTTATTTGCATATTCGATAGTTGATCGCGTTTACAAAGTTAATAAGCTATAGAGATATATAAGTTACAAGTTGATGTTTGAAAAAAATTTGGCATCATGCCAAAAAATCGTAGATTTTTAAATTAATCTGCTGTTAGCCAAACAATCAGCTTAAGACCCACCAGAAACTTACAATGATCTACAGATCAGAAAGGAAGTTTCTGACTGCAGTCTTTCTAGTTGTTACAACCAATAATTATAGGAGTTTTTACCAAGTCACTTTTTAAACTGATTAATGAGAATAAAATTCTGCCTAGAAAATTTTGCCATCATATTTTAGTTTCTAACTAAACAGATTTGAAATCAATCAATATTCACTTCTATTCACCATGGTGATATTGTTTATAAGGCAAATGTTCACTCATTTCGCGAAATTAAAATGGAAATATTATAATAAGTCAATAAAAAAATTCCAGTCAAGTGTAACTTTTTATATTTATCATAAATATTATTTGAACATATGTTATTAGATTATGTGAAGCTTATTTTACGAATCAATATAATAAGGATAAGCATATATCCCGTTTTCTTCACAGACTTAACACTGGTTTATCCCTTTAACTCCTAACCACAATGACAGATTAGTGAGGTTTTCTTAAATTTTGTATTTAATAGCGTCTAGGATTTAAAAACTTGTTCTATGTGTTACTTACCGTTAGATGTCATTATATTATTCGTGAATTTTTGTTTTTTTTTTTACTAAAGTTTCATACACATATTTACTGATAAAAATTTTTTCTTTACTATCCAATTTATTTACTTTTTGAAACCTTAGCTACAGCCAAGTCGTTCACATGCTGGCAGTGTTGAAGTCCGCCTACTTCGTAAATTACCAGCACCAATGAATATTCTAATCTCTGTTCACGTGACAATATCCAAAGATGATGAAGAGATTGCACATGCTGTAACTAAACTTTATCTGTTTGTTACACAATCATTTTCTGAACGATTACGAACAAGCAGAATAATTCAAAGAGGATTAATTTAAACAATACATTTTCCCTTTTCTTCTTATACTCGTTTGCATTTAAATCTTTTAATTGTTGTTTGATTTAAAATTATTAGGAATTTTTATCCGCATCCAGTCTGTCTTCCATCTTTTCTAACATTCTGTTTTACCGTAAAATTTATGATACAACACGAAATCGATCCAGTTAAAAAAAACTTGAGTAATCAGTTATCAAAAACAACTATTTTGCCAAATAATATTTATTCCGGAGAAATACTGCATTGGTGTTGATACTGCGGATGATTTGTGTCATTGATTATTTTACCGCCAAATTAAGAATTACTCATCAAAACTCAGTGAACTAATATTCATCTGAACAGATATAGTAAATTGTATTTTAGACACAGTCATATTCTTATATAATTCGATCACGGGTTTTATCACAACTAGCTACCATATACATATTCGTCAGATTCAAAAAATCGATAGATTACTCTACATCGGTCATGTTAGCATATAAACAAACATAATCACATACACACATAAGTATATATATATATATATATATATATATATATATATATATATATATATTTACAAACTAATCACTTATTAATCTACCTTGTCTCTTATTAATTTCTTTCTTTTTTAAGCGCCACTTCATGCGTATCTAAACATTGATGAGATTTTCATTTTATGAGTACATAAATATGAAATGTTTAATCTTCTTGTCCATGGAATAAAATTAGTACACTAATCACCACTCCTACTACCATTACTAATACTGCTATTATTGTTCATTATCGCATATTACCGTAAAATTTATGTATATGTATGTATATGCTTAAATGCTATCACATTAATAAACTATATTTATGATTTCCTTTTATGATACTTTCTATTTCGATCGATATTCTTTAATCAGTCTACGTAATTACCAAACCATATAAGTCAGTATTCAATATCACCAACTCATAGGTAAATGACTCTAAGATGGTACTTCCAAAGAGTTCATAACTTGTACAGTCAAGGTAGTAGGGGTTCTTGCAGTGATTCATAGATAAAGATCCCATTTAATTAAAACCTGATTGAAATTCAAGACGTAAATCATTGATACCAATCGCAACGATCCCATTATTGACAGGTGTCTTTCAACAGACACTAATATTTTTCGATCGCCTCCCTATCTTCTTTCAATCGTTTCTATATTGTGATTTATACTTCGATGGGAAGTTTCTGAAATTCTTTTTTATTAGTAAAATCGACAAGATCTTGTTCAATGAATAACATTTGCTTCAAAATATAATAATAATATTATTTTCTTTGTTAAAATTCCAATTTAATAATTTGACTTTTTGATAAAATGATTTTGGTAATAAACTGCGAAATGTTTTCTGTAAGAGAACTAACTAATAGTGTTGCAATTCAACTGCAAAGATTCCTTTTTAAATAAACCACTTGAAACATTTTTTTACACTACCATATTGATTAAACCATTAGTCTGTATTAACTTGACTATTTTATCTTACACATCTATTATGCGTTTTATACACAACTATCATTATTTCTCTTTCAATTAAGCTCATTAAATAAACATTTGTTTGCTTATTACATTCAATTTGGTCATCACTGTTTGTATCAAAGATAAACAGTCCATCAAGTATTTGGAATTCACAGTAAAATAATTCATTCAATCAAGAGAAGATAGAGTTAATGAAAAGATAAACATAGATTAAGAAAATTTTATCAATTATTGCCTTCATTATAATCTTTCACACAATGTACACAAATGTCACACTCTGTCATTAACCAAGTTGAAAAGGAGATTTGTTTAATCAATAAAACCATAGTCTAAGAAAGTATATGTTTTGGATTTATTCATAAGTATCGTGTTAGTCAATAATTCACATAAAACACTAAGTACCAATATCTAGTAATTAATCAAGCCCATCCCTTATCTTAGACTGAAATATTTTGGCGTATTTGTGAAAATTATTGAATTTTGTCAGTATACAAAAAAATGAGCATCAATAAAAGCTGACGAACATCGGATGAACGGTTTATCCAACCTACTTGAAACTTATTACACTTTGCTCATCTACCAGCACGTGAAATCAAACTCAGGTCTTTCAAGTTACATTAGTAGAATATGTTTAACTGATTTGCGGGAGTTTTGTTTGTGAATAAGTATCAACATGTAGTTTTTGTTTCTTGATTTGGACATAATATATCATGCGCAATTAACTTGTTACAAAATGTCAATTATCTTTTACATTTGATTGTCGATGTCATGAAAAGAAAAAACAATCTATTTTAATATTAAAATTATTATTTGAATAAACTGAAAGAATTTAAGTCAGTCATATTTATTAAAACATAAAGTAATGTAAACATTAAATAGAAGGAATGAGTGTAGATTTTCAATTAGAATAGTTTCTCGTCAACATATTTAAGTCTATATTATAAAAAATCAATGATGAATTAGCATAGAATATTCTTTTTGTTCTAAAAGAAAAATGAAAAAGTTTCTAATTCGATAAAAGACAATACAGTGTTTGATGCTTTATTTTTCATAGTCTTTAACTGAATGCATACAATAAACAGAAAATAATCATTTTGCATTAGAATTTCCAAAGCATTTTTTCAAGACATATTTACATTTATCTACTTGGATAGAATAAAAGGAAGAATTTTTTTTTAATTAACAATGATAGTTAAAATAATGAATGTAACAAGAATGAGTGAAATAGTTTTACTCTAGAATTTATTAAATTTCATACAGCGTAAGGCATCTATGAAATGTCTATTATAAATAGTTTAAATGAAATAATTGCATATCACTATCACTATTTCTCTTTCAGTTTTAATTAAGAAAAAATAAATATTGTTAGAAGTTAATCGACAACTAGAGAAGCAGATGATATCTAACTTTTGTAAAATATTGATTTAAGGCCAATCGGAATAAGCAATAACTGATTTAGTTTCAATATCTATTTGTTTGTAAACAAGATTGAACCTCTTTGTAAGGGTTATTCAAAGAAGTGGTTAATTTACTATTGAAGTAACGATGTCGACGGTTATGAAGAAAAAAAATATAAGGAATATAGTTTAACAAAACAAAAGGAGTTGAAGGATAAGAAGTACAGAGTGAGATGTATACCATTTAATGTGAGTAAAACATTTTAACTGAAACCAATTGTAAACCACACCTTTTAAAGCCTTTCATGACTATGTCAAGTAGCCGGATCAAAAAAGGCGCACATCTCAACATGACTTAGATAAACAGCCGATAAATTTCTCAGCTGTTACCGGGTGAAAATTCTACATTATTGTATGTATGATTCCAGCCAACTGAGTGATACATTTAAATGAACATTTCTGCCTAGCATAATTTATAGATAGAAATCAGTTGAAAAAGTAACCAATTTAATAGCTATTTTAGATAAATATTTTGGATAAGCAAACGTTTTGTGTTCTTTCTTTTGTTAAATTTCGGCAACAATCTGGATGTTATCATTTTTGCCGCTTCTGCTATTGATAATGAAAGTGATAGTCAATAAAATGTAACAAGAAAATAATCTTACACGAAAATCAATACGGTCATTTTCATAAATATGATAGAAGAAAAAAATTAACGAATAAAAATAAAACCTGAATAAGACTTAGTGAAAATTAGGATTTTTGTTTTATTGTATCAGAATAAAAAGAAAAAGAATAGGGAATTTGTTATCACGAAATGGTATGTAGATTAGAAAATTCTTTAAAAAAAGTTGATGATAAACTGTCTTTAAATAAAATATTATTACTTATTTAGAAATTCAAACCAGCAACATTTAGGTTATGATTACTGTTCAGTAATCCATCTAGACCTGAATAATGAATGAAGTTTTAATGTAAAACTTGTCATGATTTAAGTGCGCATACATAATTTTATAAATTAATTATTTAAAAATATGATGGATGCTAATCGCTCACTCTGTTTAAATTAATGCTCTTATTTGTTTCACTCTTCCCTTTATGGATTTATACAAGGAATTTTGCTAAAGATTTATTGTATACTTTCCTTTGACTGATATGAAGTATCGTGCTGTAACTCAAACAACCTAGAATTTCAATGAAAACGCTGACAGAAAATAATTCGAAATTGTGAAATTACAAAATGTTATTTTATTGAACTGAAATTTTCGTACGCTTTTTTCAAAAATTTACGAATAATTTACCTCTCAGTTTATTGAATAAAAGTGTAAATAATCAACACACATTCTGTTTTGTTGTAATAGTTAACAGATTAAGCTTTAATTCACTACTAAGTTTAAATAAATAATTCAAGACTAATAAATTTACAGTGATACGTTAAATCAAAATGTTTTATTATACTGTCCGAAACAATTTTTCTTATTTACAATCCTCATCTAAAAGCTTATATTCATTTGAATGTAGCAAGTGAAATTCAAACTATACATCTTTCAGCCTATTAGCAATTAAGAACTTTTGCACAACCAGAAACTATTGTGATTGAAAAAACCACTTAGATCTATGCACATGAAGTGCCTCAAGGAAATGCACTAACTGTGAGGTACAGATATGTTTAGTTAACCAAGTCCGAAATCTCTAATAAATAATTTAACAACGATTTAATTCATTTTACTTCGAAATTTTATTGAGAATTTAAGAAAGTGACAATAATTGAGATGTTGGAGAAAATTTGTTGCTCACGCGGATGATTAAGGTGGTGTTCCGCTCTCTGAGCTGGATGTTTCGGTTATGGAGCTTTCATTGTCCTTCTGAAAAACAACATCATCAGCACAAACTTCAGATAAAGTGGAATATTCGAATTTCTCCACGTTTGACCTTTAGCTCGTTCTATCAACCTTGGTCTTGATTGATTACTGTTGACCTTCAACCTGTCGTTGTTTTCACCTGTGTTTTGACTGTATCCTCCTTTTGACCTATTTCTTGATCTTATGTCACCTATGATTTTCCTGATTGGTTGATAAATTGAGTCAGTGTCGATGTATTTGTTGATTGCTGATTGACTTGAGTGCCAAACTTCTGAAAGAGGCTAATTGTTTTAAACTTCTCCTAATTCTCTGGTTTACTTTGTGCTCCCACTATCCAGTCTTTCCACATTGTTCCCATCGATGGCATGTCCATAATTGTCGGTGTGTATTGATATTAGCGAAGAATTGTTGTGGCGTTTGACTGCTAATTGGTGTTCACGTAAACGAAGCTGAAGAGGCCATCCACTTTGTCCTATGTAGTGTTTTTCTCAGTCTGAGCAATTTATTTTGTAGATGATATTTAGTTTTCCCTTCCTTTGTCATTTGTACTTTGGTCTACATAGGATTGATTGAAGTGATTCTGTTGGTTTGTGTGCTACACCTATTCCAAATGGTCTCAGTAATCGTGTTGTATGGTAGGATGATCCATTTCGCTCCTGTTGACGATTTCATTTGGTTTTTTGATGAAGTTGAGTGGACAGCCGTTCTTTTGGAAGATGGTCATTAGATATTTTTCTTTGTTTATTGCAATGTGTGCTGGAATGTGTCTTCACTCTCTTGAATAACGCTGTTTACTGTAACAGAGGGGATACAATCAAAACAAAGGTGAAAACAACGACAGGTTTAAGGTCAACACCAACCAATCAAGATAGAAGCAACAGAACAATCTACCGGTCAAACGTGGAGAAATTCGAATATTTCACTTCTATCCGAAGCTTGTGCTGATGATGTTGTTTTTCAGAAGAACAATAAAGGCTCCACAACTAGAACATCCAGCTCAGAGAACGAAACACCACCACAAAGTGACAGTTAACTTTTTATAGAAAGTGGTTAGTTTAAAAAATGCAATCTGT